GTTTCTATGGATTTCATCATAGATCTTCCAAGCTCAAGATCTTATGATTCTATATTTGTGATAGTAGATCGTTTCACCAAGATGGCACATTTTGTGCCATGTACAAAATCTATCACAGGTGAAGAAACAGGTAAGCTTTTCATTGATAATATCTATCGCTATCATGGATTACCTAAAGATATCATATCGGATAGGGGAACTCAATTTGTGTCAAGATTTTGGAGGACCCTTTTCAAGATTTTAAAAGTGGACATAAAACTATCTTCGGCTTTCCATCCTCAAACTGATGGACAAACAGAGCGCGTAAACCAAGTCTTGGAGTAATATTTAAGGTGTACTATCAACTACCAACAAGATGATTGGACAACCCTTCTGCCATTGGCAGAGTTTGCTTATAATAATATGGTACATTCTTCCACGCAACAAACACCTTTCTTTGCCAATTATGGCTATCATCCACGACTTGATACTTTTGATTTTTCAAAAGTTGATAATCCTGCAGCAGAAGATATGGCAAATCGGTTGTCAGAGTTACATGCAATAATGAAGATGCAATTGAAGAAAGCTCAAGAACGACAAAAGATAAGCGCAGATCTATATCGTAAGGAGCAACCACAACTCAATGTGGGTGATAAGGTATGGCTACTTTGTCGCAATATCAAGACTACTCGACCTTGTGACAAGTTGGACTATCGTAGGCTTGGCCCCTTTTCTGTTTCTGAACAGATCAACCCAGTTGCATATCGGTTACATCTATCGGAGTCAATGAAGATCCATCCTGTATTCCACGTGTCTCTTCTTGAACCATATAAGACAATGGATATACAAGGAAGAAGACAAATGCCACCGCCTCCCATAGAAGTAGATAATAATGAAGAATTTGAGGTGGAAGAGATATTAGACTCAAGGCGGTGCCGAAATAAGCTGGAATATCTTGTTCATTGGCGCGGATATGATATTAGTGAACGCACATGGGAGCCATCCAGAAATCTAGCAAATGCATCAACTAAAGTCAAAGTTTTTCATCAACGACATCCATCAAAACCAAGATGAAAATCTCTCTTATAAAAGAAATAAGATTGAGGCAAGATAACATTCAATTTCCTATCCTTGTTTGTAACTTCTTTGTATTTGTGACTCTAATTAGATGGAGAGCCAACAACCAACGGATTCAACTCAAGAACCTTCGTTTGCTGACCTGCCGGACGAGATATTACGATTGTCACAACCTTCAAGACGACGCAATCGAGATGAACATCTTCAAGAACGACATGTTCTTCCTCAAATAGATGGTGAGATACAACGCATTTGGTATCACGATTTGGGAAGGGACTCTCGATGTTTGGTGATTTTGCTAGAGGTAGGAACAACTCCTGATGGTGTTCCGAATATTCTATTCGAAGGAAGTTACGAAGGCCTCAACAATGATCAAATAACTGGGTGGTCTTTCCGCCCTCGTATGGGATACTACCGATGGTTGAGAGGCCCTATCAATCATCTTCGAAGAGAATAGAGATCAGAGTATGTGGCAAATACAATTCGTCGCATCATAGATTTCCTCAACATATGATGACCGCTCCTCGTGGAACTCGTCTCTAGAAGGGGGGGTAATGTCACGGCCATAATCATGTAAGCTAATAATTACATATAGAAATAGGTAGAAGTAAGTAAAAGTAGATAAAAGTAAGCTAATTCTATAATATTTAATACAGAAGCTTCCTAGAAACTTCCTAGATGCTGCTTTGACTTCATAGGTGTCTTTAATTGACTTTTTGGATTAGAAACGTGGTCAACAAGTTGGCCATGTGCCACACATGTTGTTAGCTTGAAGATCAAGCTAACTATGTGGCCCACACGTAGAGAAACTTGCCTTGTAAGTCAAGGCATGTGTCCTACAAAGTCAACACATATTAAGTCATATGTATTCAAAGCAATAAGTAATTAATCTTCTTTTATTCTTTTGTAAGATACCATTAGATTTAAGCTTAGCTTTGAATACATATTTGGTAGAAATAGGTTGCTTGCAAGTTGAGAGTGATGTAAATATTCAAGTTTTGTTGTTATAGATAGACTATATTTTATTTTCTATTAAGATTTTTTATCTTACATTTTTGATAGTTTTAGGATAGAAACAGAGTTTCATGTTTCATAGACTAATAAAGCCAAAAAAAATAGACTTGCATCTATTTTATGTTTGCTAGAATATATCATTGAAAGAAAGATTAAAGTAGTTGGTGTCAAGGACAAAGACTCGATGAGGGAAAATATACACAAAAAGGCTATCTCGATATAATAAGTCAAGTGAAAAGAAAAATATTAAAAATAATGATAGTATTAGTAGCACAAAAAAAGTTGAAACTTTACTACATGAATGTCAAGATTGCATTTCTCGATGGTGACTTGAGGGAAGATGTATATATTATACAACCACAAAGATTTCTTAAAACTAGATAAGAACACCTTATTTGAAGACTTTATAAAATATTTTATAGATTCAAACACGCTCCAAAAGCTTAATATGATAAAATTGATTCTTTTCTAAAAGAACAAGGTTTTTCTTAAAAAAAATACAATTATAATTTATATATTATCAAACATACATATAAAATACTATTATTTGTTTTAATATCAATGACTTATTATTGATTAGCAACTAACTAAATTAAATAAATTAGTTCAAACAACAACTTATATTAAAAATTTTCATATTGAAACTAAGCAAAGATAATATGATACTTTACTTCAAAGCAAAATATGTCAAATTATTTGCGGATATCTTTATGATTCAATACATCTATGAATTGAAAGTCTTGGAATTTTTTGGAATAAAAAATTATACCTTTGTTATAACACCAATATAAGAATGGCTAAAATTGACAATGGACATAAATACAAAACCGTGTGATCCTACATACTACAAATCATTGGTTGAGAAATTAGATCATTTTACTTATATTTACTTTGATATCTCCACAATTGTTGATATCTGCTCAAAACCAAATACAAACAATATTAGATTTGTTAATGTGGATTAGGCTAGAGATATGATTGATGGTTGCTCTACTATAGATTTTACCTTCATGCTTAGTTCCATTTCCATCACTTGGCTCTCAAAGAAATAATCCACAATGGCCATGAATTCTTTCAAAGCTAAGTATATGGAATTATCTACTATCTCTAAAGAAGCTATATTTTTAGCCAAGTTTATACAAGATTTTGGCCTTTGAACCAATAGATATGTTTTTATTTACTATGACAATGAAGACAACATTTGCATGGTAGTAAATTCCTATATCAATTCGAAAACAAAACATATTAGTATACATTACTATTTTAAACAAGAAAAAATACAAAGTAGCAAAATTATACTCAAATATGTTCCTTCATTAAAACAAGTTGTTGATATTTTTACAAAAATCATGAAAAAATGCCTATTTGAAAAACATGTAGCCAAATTAAATTTTATATCTTATTCTAAAGCTTTGCATTTGAAATCTTAAAATTTATACTATTTAACCTATCATTTTAAATTTATTAAAAAATCACTAGGATTATCACCTTCTACTACTTGCTTTGTCTCTACTTGCAGCTAAAATTAAAAAAGCTTCAAACAAAGCATCTCATTTATAGATAGTTTCTACTATTTTCATTAGTTTTCTCTCTTTAGTCATACTATAGTAGTCTTTTTAGCCAACCTCCTCCTCCAATCTTTATACACTTCTTACAATAGGCGTACCATTCTCAAAAACTCATCACCAACCTCAAGTTCTCTTATTAATTTAGGAATTACAAATTTTGCTATCAACACCTTTGATGTAGAAATCAAAAACCAAGGTGCTTCTTTTAATTTTTTAATTACTACTAATAGTATTTACTCTTTAGCTACAAAAATCCTTACTTCTTTTTCAATTTTTTCTTTCAATCCTTTATCTTCATCTTCTTCTCCCATTCTCTTGAAGGAACTATTACTCACAGAAGCCCATGGACTTGGAAAAAATTTATTTGCCACTTCTCTATATTGCAACACAGATGCAATATTAATATTATAACATATACATTCTATCAATCTCCAAAACCTACATAAACATCTTAAGAATAATCACAATAATTTATAGACAATCCTAGCAAAACAACATCACAAGAATCTATATTACTAATCTTCTCCTCATATCTTTCACATGACCCATTCAAGCATATAAGACCACTTACTCTATCAAACTTTTACTCCTCCACAACAAAGGTGATACTTGACAATCAAGACTACAATATCCAATACAATATATCAAAGCATGAATATTCAAAGATGTTTGGATACAAACTATTCAAGACAAAAAAAACCATAACAAAAAAAAAAAAAAAAAAAAAAAAAAAAATTATACAACTCCATCTATACACAATTCACCCACAACCATACTTAAAAAAAAAAAAAAAAAAGATTATGAGTATAACTTCACCTTTTATGTGGCCTATCATAGTATACAAATTTACATATTCTCTTTTCTTGCAAAAGTAATCTCTCTCAGCAAATACAACAGCACACTTGCAAAAACAAGTGGTGCCACACTTCTACCTCTTGTTAATATGATTTATCCTTGTAGATATGACAGTACTCTTGTAAAACCAGTGTCACTTATCATTGTGTCTCACTTGGCAAAGTAACAAAACAAGAAATCCAATTCAAATTATCTCTTCACTGATTGACGTCTTTACAGCCTTTTTTTCAAATTGACCAAAGTAGCAAATGTGGGGGTGTCCAGTACTCACCATGATAAAAATTTGATGTCATTTTGTATACTACTTCTTGTCACTCACCATCGATGCAAAGTTTGCAATAAGAAGAGGTGTTGGAACTATAATAAGACCTATGCCATTCTTTCTCATCCATCCATAGATGAAAGCTATAATTAAATCCATGTCATACTATTGCATTGAAATCCAGTAGTATAGGATCTCAACCTGTGTACTTATACCTTGTGCATTCACAGTGGTAATAAGCTGAGTATATATCATTTCCATGTGTTCCATATATCATATCAAATTCCTCCTTTTGATTCCTCTAGTTTATTTCCTCATTCATCATTATCTATAAGATAGCGGGGGTTGAAATGTACGAAGGACATGGTCCGTGTGTAAGAGGGGAAGCTTTAAGTCATGGGACGGTTCCCGATCTCCAGCATCTTTGGCTTCCAAAACGCATTTCTACTGTTAACCCGTACATCGTCAAGTATTCTGTTGATTCAATTCGTGTTACGGACAGTCCTAACCTAAGGTTTGAAGATGTGGGGTTTGAGTGGTTGATCATAAGGTGAGATTTAATTACAAAACGTTTTCCAATTAGCTGTTAGTTATGAGGAATTCTCAATTGTTTGCTAATCAAACTCTGGTAAAATTAGATTTTACATGCTGTGTAATTATCCAATAGAGGAAGTATTCTTGTGCAATGGCTTCGAAGAGACAAAAGGTTTGAGAGGGTTGCTTGACCAGCGCAATGGCAATCCACAGTTACAAGACGCTTTTGAAGTTGAAGTATTGATTCTACTGTGAGATTACTTTCAGCTTCGTGTGGTTTACAAAACAGTGGAACCATGCAGCTTTTTAACGGCGACTCTTCACCGACTCAACCCCAAAACCCCAGTTCGTGTTCACCCACTGGTGAGAATCAACAACATTCTCTTACGACTTACGATGTTGCACATGGTAGATGGAAGTGCGCTTACAAATCAGCTTGTTCTATCCGGCCCTTCGTAGAAGACATGTGTGAGTTTTTTGAAATTATAGAAATCTACTTTGTCGACGGTGCTTTGAGAGGAACGTATTGAATTGGTTGACGTAGTCATTGATTTGCAGCGTGTTCCACCTGCTCTAGGGGACTGTTCCACATACTTTGAGTAAATAGTACCGCTGCCATGGTAGCGGACATCTGTGTGGGGCCATACGATTACAAGCTGATCATGGGCACCTGGAATGTGGGTACACAAATCATGCACTTACGGAGGAAGAGAAAGGAGACTAAACCATCCAGGCTCCTCCATTTAGGGGATCTGGTTCTAAGAGTGTTGCTCGAAGCTACGGGGCACATGGATATATGGGATGCACTGAATGAGATCCTTACCTTCTCACTTGAGGAAGATAGATGGAGCACTCACAACCTCTCACAACACATATCAGACAGAGATTTTCGAGCTTCAGGAGTAGGCAAGGGAATATATCCTCCCCCACTACGACTGTTTAAGAATGTTTTTCCAGTGCAGATGCGCTCTAATCATATTTAGCAAGCATAGATAGAGCTTGAGTCCATTCGAATCAGTTGCTATGTTTGATCACGTCCATGGAGCTTTTCACCATTTCCAGGTACGTGCGCAATGTAGTCATTGCATGCTGTTCTGCTTCTTCTAGCATTCCGAAACGAATGTTAGCAAGATCTGTTCTTTTTCCTGTGTTTTTTGGAAAGTTGATTCAAGGAAACAAGATCATAGCAGCAACTTGGGTTGCTGTCTAGAGAGAGAGATGATGTTACGAATTGAACTGACAATTCAAGGTGCTCTGTATTTGGACAACGGGGAATCCGTAACCATTCCATCGCATGTGAAGAGGTGAGTGTACATGGTCGCAGCCTACTCTGGGAGGGAGTGTAACCTGCCTGCTTGCTGTGTCCCTGTAAGTGAGATGCTTCTGGACTTTAGTCTTCGGTTTAAAACCTAATCGGCACTCAAGCAAATCCAGATTTAACATGATATTCGAATGTACCGTTATCCTGCAGCTATGATTCGGTGTAAACTTACAGAGAACCTTCGGATGGACAAGTTGAGATGAGGTTTCTTTGTTTGTCTTTCTTTCCAACTCTTGCAGATTAGATCTCCTTCGAGTGCTAAACTGACTCGAATGTTTAATGAGAATTCATAGAGCTAGTGCCTTTTTACGGTTCTAAATCTGAGCAGAATGATAGGGCAGGTTGCTTCTGACGTAAAGTCATTAGGTTCAGTTTGAGCCTTTCATCATTGTCAATCATGTGGGTTCAGTGTTGCAGCTGCGTGACTTTCATGGTTGGATAGTACCTTACGGAGCTTGCCAAACGATTGGAGTGCTTCCGACGCACCGGAATCATTCAAATCACCTACAGCCATTTATGTGCTGCAGAACATTCTTCTTCAGTTTGTAAAAGAAAATTTGGATTTATTCGCGGCTCTTTCGTTTATTAAATATATTTTAAAATATATGACTGAGCCGGCTCAAAGCAGAAACACCCATTTCACCCCATTTTTATTTTGTAGTCCTGTACTTGGGTATCTAACCTGCACCACGTGGAGTCTGATCACAACAGGCTGGTAAGGCCAGACATTGTGAGATGATGTCACATTCTCTGCGAGTTACAAATTTCTTTGTTCGACTCCGTTTGTCTCTGCTTAAATTATTGGGTTTCCTTTGTTACACTTTCCTTACATCACATACTGTCACGATTTGGCAAACAATAGTTTATTCAAAACATTATCCAGTCATATGTTTATGCTTCTAACAGGCAAGCACAGATGCCTACAAGTTCAGGTAGACGAGGTACCAAGTTGTTGCTTCGTTCACAGCGTTGTGCAGTCTCAAGATTTCATGCCATCTTAATCAGTGAAGCTAATGAATTGAACAAAAATCATCATACATAGTGTATTTTAGCACTTTCTGGTTAATACGAGAAGTCTAGGGGTGATGTAGCCTCTGCCAGTGAGATGCTCGGATTTGACATCTCTGTCCTTTTCATTGCAACAACGACTACCCGCTCTTGTGTTAGTTGCTTTCTGCAGAAGATGGTAGAAATGAACATCAGCTTCTATCTTATACGCTCAATAGTAGAACAATCTGGCGAGTTAACCGTCTTCAATTGACTGCCGATTGTCTGCCGAGTTACGCCATGGGTAGCGACCCCTGAAGTCTTATTTGATGTCTGAAGATTTTCAACAATGTTGCGATATGTACTTTTTGCAGAAGGGTCTTCAAGAGACTCTCGCATATTGAATTTTTGAGTTCAAATTATACTATTCACTGTTGCAAACATACAACCACGTTGAGCATAGTGTGGATCTATGTCAAGTTTCAAAAACCTAAAATGGACTTTTGATCAACTCGTGCCGCAAACCTATGAGAAATGTCAATAGTCGGCTCTCTTTTTTCTAACGTTACTTGCAGTCACACTTTCTTTGCAAAGGGGTTTATGCCTTAACAACCATTCTGAACCCCTTTGTATGAAACATGCTGACAGTCTCGTGGCACGTTACAGCTGTATTCGATGAAACAGGAACCAAAGCCTCCGCCATTACACGCCGTTGCATTTGCGGTATCCAACACCGACGCCCACAATCATTTCCATCATAAATAACTGTAATTTTCTGTGGGGACAACTCGAAAGTCGTTTAGGCAATTCTGACAGATCCTCAGAGTGAGCTACGTCGATGCAACTGCAACAAAGACGCTTGTGTGACGTTTAGTTTTTTTTAAAAGAAAAAACAGAAGTCTTCTGAAAGAACTTTGGGCGGGACGACTTATACTGATGAGTTCACGACAGTGAAAACAGTGTTCAGCGTTGGGATTGCAATGCTAACCTTCGCAACTATTGAATCCACCTGCTGCAATATCAATGGTCGTCGTGGACTCACGTGACAGCAGTGTGAGATGTGCAGCGAATGAGGAACTAGGCTCTTCAATGGGTCGCACCCTGATGCAGCGACAGTGTCATTCCTGGCTATTATGGAACACCGTTGTGACTAGTGACAGCGATGACCAAACACTTGTGTCAGATGACGGTACCTTCCCTGCAAAATCAATCAGGAGGACTACGTCGTACGAGATGTACTTAGAGGTGGGCAATGCAGTCAATTCATGTGGTGCAGTGGAACGGACGGGAGCTAGGAATGAAACGGACGAGCGAGGAATAGAGGGGTCGTTGGCGGGATTGGGTGCAGTGGAGGTGACCATTCTCCTCTCTGCGCTTTCACTTCGCCTCTTGCTCACGGTCTCTGTGAGGCGATCTCACCCGCTACTGTAAATCATCACAATTTCCGAGGGACATCACAAGCTGTGCTGGGTAGTACTTGCACTGAGCTGCAACGATCTGTGGTAATTGAAACGAAGAATGGCTGGGTTGTTTTTTGACTGGTCTCAGAGCGAGATTTAACCCTGCGTTGTCTTGAGTTTCTCTGAATTCTGTTCACTTCGAAAGGCGACTAGATTCGGTTTCTCTGTTCGGGGATTTCCGGGGAGTTGTCTTGTAGTGTGAAGTTTCCCGAAGGGGCGCCGTAGCGACCTTGTTGCAGTAGAGGTAGGTGGGTTCTGCTGGAACTGAGTCTTGATCAGTGAGCCCACTCGCTACACAGAGACATTCTTTCATTGCTCCCTGTAAAATTCTGTATTCCGTTATTGAGTTTCTGTTGCAACGTCGTTTATAGGCTATTCCAATGTCTACAAATTTCTCTCAACCTCCTGGATGTCCTTCCAGTACTATTTTGGTTCTCGTACTTACAAGCTTCACGACGAGGGCTGCTTGGGAGTACCCTGCGTAGTCGGGCAGTGACATAGTAATCTTGAAGACTATCGTATTTATTAACCTTATAAAGCTTTCTTCGGTCGTAATCCCTCTATTTCTCCAATCAAACTATTGGCGTTACGTGCATGTGCTGTGTGTAGATCCGAGGCGAGTTTTCTGAACCAACCCAGCGATTATCTAGTTCCTGCGGAACCTCGTGAGGCTCGGCCATTTACGTGTTGTTGTGGCAGAATGGATAGGAGCAAGATTTTCTACAGTTGGCAAGTCGGAATGCATTGCCTGAACTACCTCGCAACCTGCGACCTCTTTCACAAGTAAAACTATCCCACGGGACTCAGGCTATGATGCTTGATGTAGGATTAAGACGATCGAAGCAGACGGAGCGGCCACTGTTATATCACACTAAGGAATCAAATGGAAAGATCAATGTCTGGTGAGTTCACGAGAGGATCAATTCCGGGGCCGATGTTAGAGGTGACTGTCTTGGCAGCCGAAGATCTCAAGAACGTGAACATTTGCAGGAGAATGAGCGTATACGCTGTGGCATGGGTGACGGCTGATTACAAAGGAACCACCTCTGTGCGTCGCAGAGCAGGTCGGAACCCTGTTTGGAACGATACCCTGTTCTTTCCGGTGAATGATGACATTCTTCTCCACCCACATTCCGCTCTCACAGTTCAGGTCAGAACGCACTTCACCAGTTCTTCTATTTTTTAGTCCACGTTTTCCAACCATGGAAAGTGGAGAGTCCTTGAGAAAACAAGGGGTCTAAATCCATCAACATCGATAAGTGAAGCATGATGTGAAGAATTAATTTGCGCTGATGGGACGCAGGTGTACAGTACCGGAACTGTGACCCCGAGTCTGGTTGGAATCACTCACCTGGCTTTGACCGACATTGCAAGAATGAAGGCCACAAAAACGAACTCAGAGGAAGGTGATATTGTCTTTTTGCCACTACACAGACCCTCCGGCCGAACCCAAGGGATTATCAGCCTTTGTGTCAACCTAATGGGAGCTACTATCCAGCAGATGATGTATGCCCTTGGTAAGGCACTTCTCTCTTTCTATCTCAAGTAATAAATTGTATTGGCACTTCTTATTTTCTTCCCTCTGATTCTTTTTCAGCATTGGTTCTAAAACTTGTTAAACTTAGCTACTGGTTCTCTTCCCTGCAGCGGCACTTGGCTAAAATTAGTTTCTGCTAATAGTAAGGATCTTGTCAATAATGTCTACTATTTTTCTACTTCTAAAACTAAAATTTACTCGTTAATTGATAATGCTCCCGTTATGGTTTCACAGACAAGGGTCAAGATGGTTGGGCGATTGAGATGCCAACCATCTTCTCAGGTGCCCCAGACGTGGTTGCAGTCATGGGGTACCCGGCAGTCCAACCTTATAGAATTCCGGCCCCTAATTTTTATCCGTCGTATACCAGCTGTGCTGAGCCAAGTACAGAGGGTGATGCAGTCATGCCAACTCCTGCAAGGCTGCCTCCACGGGTACCTTACCCATCTCCTTACTTCTCCAACAATGCCAGCGAGGACCCTCTCTTATCGCGTAATCAGTACGTACAGGTATAATGTTAAGGAGAACTTGTATTAGGCACTGCAATTTTTGAGTAGTCTGTCTGGTTGAATGTGGCCACCTTCATTTGTAGATGAAGCTACATTCTTTTTCTCCAATAAGACGCCAAAGCAAGAGATAATGAGTAGATCTTAGGTGTACAAAATATAATTAGGAGTGGGTGGATGAGGCAGGATTATGTCTGATTTGCTTCGGATTAGTTTCATTTTGATTCTGGATATCAAAGCTCCTCTGGGTGTCAATTTCGACCTGATTGTGTATCTAATGCGAATATGTCTTTAATTTCTTTTGCAATATTCTGTTTCTTAAAATGTATAGCCCACTGTGAGAAATGTATCATAAACTGTCTCTTTATATAGCAGTGCTTCTTGTTAGCCAAGGATCTGAAAATATGTTTCAAGAGGTCTGGCAGTCACCAACAGAATTCAACAGTGCCACAGTTTTGTGTAGGACTTAATCCACAGAACTTCCACGTCTTACTGAAAACTGAGGCATTTTTTTCCTAAAGAAATCCCAGTTTAGAGTGCCAATACAGAACTCAAGCTCCTGTTAGCAGCAATAAAGATTTTTTTCCACGAGAGCCATCAAAAAATTGTGAGTGCATACAACTGTAATAGCTATTAAAACTTAGAAAAGCATCAGCATTCCACCAAATACTCCATATATTTGACAGTTGAAACTTGATGATCAACAAGAAGACAAAGCTGGAATATCACTCACCAAGCTCTGGGCACATATAGTGTTGTACAGTACAAAGGTAGTGAAGTGACTTGTGTGAGTTGAGTCCCACATGGCTTCACTCTAGAGACATCATGTGAGTAAAATTAAACCACCCCTGTGGCTGGTTCCTGACCTGACTGTTGCACTTTCTGCATGTGTACCTACAAGCCATCTCATGTGGGAAGCATCAAAATCACCCTTCTAGGCAAGGACCCAAGGACATGGATATGCATTCTGGCATGGTGTGTGGAGTGTACAAAAATCCTTGTGCTATTACACAGATCACCATAACTGAGGGCTATGTCCTTGAAGAGGCTGTGCAACAACCATGTCTCATGCACTGAGTTCTCAATGTTCATGCTTTTTTGTGTCCCTCAATGCTCACTTCAAGCTCTTCAATCTCCATGGTCATTGGCAGTGAAATCAACAAAGTGCATTCACTTCATGTGTCCTGCAGAAATCTCTGAACCATAAGGGCAATGCAGATTGTCTAGAGCCCCAGTCTATTCCTGTGATTTTTGGACTTGTTCAAGTCCATTCCTGTGTTTCAGAAACCATGCCAGCTATCCCTCACATGCTCATGATGCAACACATGACAAGGCAAACAAGAATTGCCACATAAATATAAATAAAAATTGGTGCACCTATACATAAGTGTGATGCAATTGCTGCAGTTCATACATGTTACAAAATCAAAGTTTCGATATGGACATATGTTTCAACGTGCTTGTTAGTGAAACTTCTTCGTTGAATAAATGAATTGATTTAGCTGAGATCAGAAAAATGTGCGTCGAAAGAAACAAAAGAAAACATCCTTCTCAAAAATCCAGCTCAAAATACTCTCAACGACCTCGACTCTCGTTTCCAACCAGAACATGATCATGTGAAGAAAAGCGTGGAAAAAGAAATTACAATTAACAAGGACAGTTTCATTGAGCTTGGAGTTCTTCTATGGATATGTACTTCACCAAAAATGAGGACAGTTCCTAGATACCATATAAAGCACATCCACTAGAAGACAACGGTGTCAAGCATGGTTCCCAAGGTCTGCACAATATTGGAAGACATCAAATTAGAGACATGCTCTTCTAAATGCTTCTTTGCATCTTGACGCCCCACATTGGCAATAGCCAACTTCTCTGGACTGAGCTGGTCTTCTTCTTGCACAGCCTTATTGTACTTGATTGCGAGATCTAACATTTCCTGCAAACACCCCACGCAAGTCTTTATTGAGGTAGCGTGTTCACAAGGCCACAACTTCAAGATTAAAGACCAAGCTTTCACAATCAAGCAAAGGAATTAACCAATGCATGACAAACCAAGGGAATGTATCAAAAACTACATACAAGCTTATTACTTTAAAAGGAATCTCTGGTCCTAAAGCAACATTCATAGCCAAAAGTGACTTACCTTCACCGTGGACTCATTAGTTTTTCCATGTTCGTCGTATCGTTGCAGAGTGAGTCCATCAGTCCACTTCTTCTTGTGAAGGTTCAAAAGCATTTTCTCTTCCAATTCATTCTTCCGATAATTAATGCCAATAGAATAATAGTGTCGGTTCAATCCATGAATCAAAGCCTGTAAATATTAGCAGGTAAGTAGGTCAACACCAAGAAAATTCCAAAAACGACACGAGGTTTATTGTTATGGCAACAATAACTTCCACAGCACCACATAAGCTTAAACAGGGTGAGTGTCGCATTAATCAACAAGACGTTTACATGGTGTTCTCTACACAGCATCAGATATATTTTCATCTAACGACCAGTTGAAAATGCAGTCAATAGACTAATAAAAAAATAAAATAAGAAAGAACTTCTGAACCTCGAACTACGTGGATAAGCTCAAACAGTATCACTACCCAAAAGAGGCAGGCATTGACATGAAATAATCCGTAAGTTCGCATGTAAGTACCTGAATGGAAGGCTTGTTAAGATGACCAACATTTGAAGTGGTCTGCCTAGGCTCCTGTCCCAACATCATTGTCTGGGGGTTGATCAATCGAAAAGCATCAATCACAACCTTTCCTTTCACACTTTGGATTGGATCCACCACTACTGCCACAGCTCTTTGATTCAAAGCTTCAAAACTCTGGGTTCACACAAAAGTTTTAAATTAGAAAACCACACCAACAGAGAAAAAATAATTTAGGGAAGTAAAAGACAAAAAGGACCAATGAACTCAACTGTACAAACACGTTAATTCAAGAACTACAAAGCCCAGAAAAGTCAACGCTCGACAGATTTATTCACTAAACCTCGAGAAGAGTGCATTAAAACTTTTCAAAATTACGAAGGTCACATGAAAGTACCAAACAAGACTACTGAAACCCTAAATTACCTGTTGCGTATTGATATCCACGCCAGACAACCAGCAGCCAAACCCTGGATGTGAATGATACCACCCAACGACCATCTCAGGCCTACAAAATAGAAAGAAAAGTCATTATAAATCAATATGGAAATCGAAATGAAAACTGTTAATTAGTTGTTAGTGATATTCACACATGGAAAGCTCAATTTACGCGTATTTCAATAACAGACAGCTTAACAACGAGTCGCTTCCGTGTACATGCTTCAACAGCCAGAAATATTAAGAGAAAGCAGCAAAACGAAAGAAAGGAGATGGTAAAAGGATGCGAACATATATGAAAGAAGACACCATACCGGCCAGTTTGCTTGAGCATGTCGAGCATCTTCGTTTGAAAAACGGGGTCAACTGCTTCAACACTCACGCCAGTTCCACTCTGAGGCATAGCAAATACATCTACGACACGAACAGTGTACTCGTCCACAAACTCCCCGAGCATCAGTCCCATCACTTCCATAGGAACTCCCGCTCTACCTGCACGAACGTCCAGGCATGAAACCAGTGCAAATCAACCTCCTGATAAGCACGAAAGGGATATTGCATCTAGGTGTACATAGCCAAACGTGAAAAAACAGAATCACACCCGCGAACTCAAAACACCAATGTGAAGTTGAAAAGGCAGAGTTTGCAAGCTGATTGAAGTTAAAGCCCTATCAAACAAGCTAAAAAACTTATTCATTTATTTCTTCTCAAAACATTATACAAACTCGCTCCATATTCTACACACAAGCAAGGTCCTGGACGCAGGTCAAACCCTAATATTCAATTGCTGTCTGGAAGACAGAAATACATTAATAACGAGCATGATATTCCTCCCAGTTTAACATCAAACAAAACGCAACACCTCAAACCCCAGTTTCACGAACCAAACCATAAAGTAGGTGGCACAAATAATACAATCCCAAAACCCTAATTCCTGTCGCACAAGTCAATAGCTAGTATACAAGCACAAAGATGACAAATGATTTTGCTAAAAAATGAAGCAAGCAGCGCACCATGTTTAAGCATTTTAAGCAACGCCAGGGAAGAAATGTAGACTTGCTCCGATGAATCAACGAGAGGCGAGTCTGGGTGCGGGCCACCCCCTCCACCGCTCCCGGCGAAAATCCTATTCAGTCTTGAATCCATCGCGTTAGAATCACACACTTGCTGTCCTCAAAGACTCAAAAACTCCTGAACATGAAGAGAGATTTCGCAAATTGACGGCAACTGATCACCCTCCTTCGACCTCGAAATAAGATTGCGAGGGAGACGGAGACACAAGTGAAAGCCAACGAACTCGACATATTCTGCCTCAGAACAGGCCTACGAAAATGGTAGATCGACGATTCCATGGATGAATAACAGTGTTACTTTATCAATTCTTTGGGCGTGTTGATATTTAGATTTTCGCCCAAAATTGTCTTCTTCTTGTAACAGTGACATAATTTCATTGCTTTTTTTTCTTCCCTCTTCTTTCTTTCTTTTTTTTTTTTTTTTTTTTTTTTTTCTTTCTTTCTTTCTTTCTTACTACAATATGTTTTTGTATGTATGCACATGCTCTAAAAATTTTATGTTATATTCATATGTACGCATGAGTCTTTTTATAAAATAGTCTTCAAAACTATGATTTGATTTGTGACTCAAGTTATAAGTGTAGCATTTATCATAATTAGAGTATTAATTAGATAACATTTTAATTTTAAAATATTTTTTTGGCACTTGTGGTATTTTGAAAAGAATAAATAAAGAAAAAAGAAAAAGAAAAAAAGGTTTTCTAAAAAGAAATACGAAACTATCATAGAAAATCCTTATAAAATGATATAATATGTTAAAAATTCTTGCAAGTTCTTACAGCCACATAAATATGTGAAAACATAGTTAATATTTTTATATTTGTACAAATAAATAAATTTTAAGATGTATGAGGAAATAATTTATGGACATCATTATCAATAACCAAATAATATTTTTTTGTAATTTTAAAAAAAATTACATTCATTAATAATTTTTAAATATGTGAGATAACATTAATTCAAATCAATATTTTTGATCATTGCCACAAACATTTTAACTGGAAAACAAAGCTACCTGTCATTTTTTTAAAATAAGTCAAGTACTGTAATCTTAACCAATCTCAACAAAAATCCTTCTTTTAGCTTACATCTACTAAAGAAAAATTAAACAATGTACTTAAACAAAAGAAATGTGATTACAATAGTTTCAACATATGTTAAGGACATGGATCTCGAAGAAAGAAAATCCTCAACAATTTCTTTCATCATTGAAAGGAACTAAAAAGTCACTCAAAGGTGATATAATATTGAACTAGAATGGCTATTGCCAAAAACAAGAAGACTAAAAAGTCTTGAGGCAAGACTAAGGACTAGAAAGGCATTGACAAGAATGAAGAAGGCTTCACTCTTACCTCCATATATACTTTCTAACTAGGAGCTATGTAGCAATATTCTATAAGACCTCCAACATGTGTTGATTTTGCTAACCACATGTCTTAACTTGCAAGGCAAGTTATTTATGTATGCACCACATAGTTAGCTTGTTGGCCAAGTTTCTATCCTACAAATACATTTAAAGTCAAAACTATATCTATGAAACTTCTAGGAAGCTATTTTAGAAGACTTTATGAAATTAATCTATATTTACCTACTTCTACCTAATCACATAAGTAACTATTGGAGTAAATGTACATGTACGTGACATTATCTCCTCTTCTAGATACAAGTTCTATGAAAAGCGGTCATCATCTTTCATAGATCTTTGCAATTCTTCACCTTGGTTTTGATGGATGTTTTTGATGAAAGGCCTCAATCTTTTTTATTGTATTTGCAAGATTCTTTGTTAGCTCCTATGTATATTGTCGTAATACAAGAAGTCTTGCTTGAGAATGCTCTGGGCACCTGGTTGTAGAAGGAAGAATGGAAATTACAATATCAAAATCTTAATTCTAATAGAATACTAATAATGCTCTAATTAGATCATAATAATGCTAAGCAAGATTAATCAAATTAAAAAAAAAAAACTCAAAGAAATTTGAAACAAACAATAAGAATTCTTAAAGAAATATTAGAAGGATCACAAATATCACTCAAATACATCTCAATTCAATCTTAATTTAATTCTAGTTAAAATCCTATTGAACTTCATTCAAAATTTAGGCCAAAACTAATTGAATCTTAAATCCTAATAAAATCCTAAACCCTAAACAAACCTTAAACCAAACCCTAATCCAAACCCTAAATCCTAAACCAAATCCCAACCAAACCCCAAACCAAACCCTAATAATTCCTACAACAGATTTAAACCTCAATAACTAATGAATAAACCATCGATCTTAACTCAAATTCTGCATACTTCTTAAGAAATAAGTTAAAAACAATCACAAAAAAATTGAAAAAGGATCGGAGTTATCAAATTGATGATAACCTCAAAAATGTGCTCAAGTATTGGCCAGCCTCCTTCTCCAATCTTGATGTCAATCTTCTAGAGCTAATATCTCTCCTTTGTACTATTCGATTGATTTCAAAATTTTCATATACATAGAAAATCAAGTCTAATATCCTCTCACATAAGTTTCACTCCAATCCAACTAGTAGATTGCAAGAAATCTTAAAAATCCCTACTAGATCTAAAATTCTACTTTCTGAGACCTTGACCCACTTAAACCTCAATATCCCTCAATTCAACTATTAGATCGAGCTTAAATTCACAAAACATATTAAATACAACTATAACCATAAATTCACAAAATTTCACCTATAGATCTATTACAAAACTCTTGAAATCTTCCAAAACATAAACCCTGTTTTATTTCATAAAATTCAAGTCATCCAAAACAAACCTTGACTTTGCAAAGCTCTTACAAAGTCATAACAACTCCAAATCACCAAAAATCAATGCCTATAGAAACTCTATCCAATCTTCTCTCAAACTCCACTCTTTGATCTACCAAAGAGTCCTGGAGTTGTCATCGAGACTCGGTTTTGTGCCTCAGGGTCTGATTTTGACCCTGGTTCATAACCGGCCCTCTCCAAGTATCAACATCTAGTAATTTTTTAAGTAATTTTTAGTAGAATTTACTCTTTACTTCCTCCTAAAGATGTCTATATCATTTATTTTTCCAATCTACTTTATTTTGCCTTATTTTTGGCCCTACAAAGTAAGTAGAAGCTATATTTTCTAAAAAGGCAGCATTACTACTAAAAGTTTAACTACCTTCCTATCTTTTATCTATATTTTTTTATCTTTTTTTTAACTTGGCTCTTCTATAATAAGATCCATATTATCATCTTTCACCATATAGTCGTGTTACAACACGACAACGTCTGCTAATATCATATCCAAGCCAATAAACAAGATATTTCAACCTATTTCAGTGTTGCCTTGAACCTAAGACTTCTTCCATCTCAAACTTTTGATTATTATCCTCTTTTATAAGAAGAGATGGCATTTATCTTCTTCTCAAAATATTCACTATCTTAAATGGCTCAAGAAGAAACATGTGAAATATAAGGTGGAACTTCATAGACTTTGGTAGATATAATTGATAAGCAACATGATTGATTTGTTTACAAATAGACAAAGCTCCTAGCCTATGATAGTCAAACTTATCACAAGGACAAGTAATCTTGATATTGCATCAAAATAACCATACCTTATCAACTATGTTGAATTATTGTTGCTCTTTGGGATAGGCATCCACATTGGTCTTTTGTTGTTTTTGACCTTCTTTTAATTATGTTTTTATTATTGCATGTAGCTTTGACAAATGATTTGTTAAATCTTCCATTATAGGATTATCAACTTTTGAAAAGTCAAAAGTATCAAATTGTGGATGATAACCATAATTGGCAAAGAAAGATGTTTACTGAGTAGAAAAATGTATCAAATTATTATATGTAAATTTTGCTAATGGCAAAAGAGTTGTCCAATTATCTTATTGATAATTCATAGTACACCTCAAATATTGCTCCAAAACTTGATTCACTCGTTCTATTTTTCCATCAATTTGAGGATGAAAAGCTCAAGAGAGCTTTATATCCACATTTAAAATATTGAATAGGATTCTCCAAAATCTTGATATAAATTGAGTCTCCCTATCTAATATAATATCCTTTGGCAATCCATAATAGCAATAGATATTGTGAATGAAAAGCTTAGTTGTTTCTTCACTTGAAATACATTTTGTACATGGTACAAAATATGCAATTTTATTGAAGCAATCTACAATTACGAATATAGAGTTGTATGAACTTGAATTTAAAAGATCTGTAATAAAATCCATAGAAATAAAAGACCATGATTGTTCAGGTATAGGGAATAATTGGAGAATTCCATAGGATCAATGACGAGCAATTTTTAATCTTGAAAAAATGTAACATGACCAAATAAAGTCTTTTACCACCTTTTATATTTGCAGCCACCAAAAATCTCTCGATATAAGCTCTAAAGTCTTGTTTTATCCAAAATGTCATGTTGCTCAAAAATCATGACGTGCTTGAAGAATATGTAAACATTGTCGTATGGCGTGATTTACTATCTGGAAATACACTAGGTATCTAGTTGTAGAGAGTTTAGCTTAAACTTTTATATGAATCTTGTCTTAGCTTCCAAAACTCTTATGATTTGCATAAAACTTAAAATGTAATAAAATTCCTTCAAAACATATTTTTTTCACGAAGGGTTTTTTCTTTCTGAACTTTAGAAATTCATAACTCTTGATTTAACTATTTAATTTGTTTCAAATTTTAGGATAGGTAGAATTCTCTCTTAAGTTTTACCACAAAAAAAACTAACTTCAACTTCACTTCCGATCTTTTGGCATCTAAAAAATCCTAACAGATGCTCTAAACTCTAATTTACAAGCACCTGAGCACTATTTTCTTAATATCTTAAGAATCTAATACTCAAATGCCATCAAACTTATGTTCAAAGTTTATTAACATGAATATACACATTTCTTAAAATTTTGAACCAAAACCTTGTCAAATTGCTCAAGATATAGCTCAAGACACAACCACTAGTAAATCAGGTTACTTACTACCCTTAGATTGCATGTGCTAACATCAAAATCCAATATCTCTTTCATCCCAACTTGGAATCCAGTTAGTAGTATGCAAAAATTATAGCCACAAAAGTGCTTTCTTTAATTGTAGTCGCTGATCCTCAATTGCCCTCGGTATGCATGCGTTATGTCAAAAAGTAAGAAGGTAGCTTCCAAATCCACACCTTAACTTTGAGCACTTATATCTC